TTCGTGGGGTGTGTGTGTGTGTGTGTGTGCGAGCGCGTGCGTATTTACCTCCCTTTAGTTACCAGAGGAATGCAAACTGTCGTGGGGGTTCCTCTCAGTGCAGGGGCCTGTGCTACAGCCCTGCTGGTGCCTGCCCTGTGGGCAGTGCCCATGGGTTTGAGCATCACACGTGTGGGTGGGCAGCAGCTCCCGAGGGCTCGGAGGCACAGGGCACGGGAGCCTGAACACACTGAGGGAGGCTGCTACCCCACGGGGCAGAGGGAATGGTGGCAGAAATGGGGATCGTGCGCTGGGCACCACGTGGAGTGGAGAAGTGGCTGCTTTGCTTTGCCGGCGAGTTCACACGCTGCTTTTCTTTGCTAGTCTCATGCTGAAAAGCTGAGGTTTATGTACGGTATGGAAAAAAAAACCCTCAGAAAAAAAATCCTAATGATCCAAAATAAATGACAGTATATTTTGTACTTTGTAAAGTGTTAATTAAAATGAAAAATAATAAAAAGTGGAACTTATGCTGTCTGCTTTTGTACTGATCAAACTGATGAAAATAAAGCAGAGCTTGGCATTGTCCATAAAGATGTAACTTATTTCTTTCACCTACAGTCATGCTGGGTCTCACTCCCATGCACACCCTTTAGGACATCCTCAAGTATCTCCAGTATCCAGGCCTTGTTGCCAGGTGTACTGTACCCATATAGATGGTGCTCACGATGATCTCCATCCTCCAGCTGTTCTCTGGGAGTCACCAAACCTGCCCCAAGCTATTCCCTTAAAATAAGAGGTCAATGGGATGCTGCTAGTGTATTTGCCAGACTTCATTTTACCTGCTCCCCACAGGGTGTGAGATACCCAAGATCCTGGAGAGCCCCAGCAGAGATCCTGAGGTGCAATCTCACCCCCTTCATGGACTAGTTTAGGGCAGTCAGTGCTGGGCCTTGAGTCAGCAATATGGCTGTGCAGCATCATTGCCACATAAGCCTCAGCAAGGAGGAGCTCAAGAATCTGGATGAATTGTGCAAGAAAAACAGTGAAATTAGTTGTATCATCACCCTATCACACCTATAGCCATTTACAGTGGATGTTTAAAGGGTAGCAGCTCATCTACATAAACTGTGGTCAAGAAAAATATCTTTTTTTAGCACAGTATAACCCATTCTTCTGGTCAAGTGTAAACACATTCACGTAAGAAATTAGTGGGAGACTGCTAATCTGGAATGCAGCCTTAATGCAGAGCCTCAAGGGTATAATCCATTAAAACAAAAATCACATGAATCAACATGGGCACTGCCACACAATCTTAGCACTGCCTATAGCTCCCTGCAAAAGCAACTGGTGTCTTAGGGCAAATAACAGGCTGCTAAACTGGCATTCAGACCCCCCCAAAGAATTTGCACACACTGAGAGGCTTTTAGGATCAGTATTTGTCTTACTTCACCTGCCCAGGCTCACACCCTTGAGCAAGAGGTGCTGGGGCTCCAGTCCCTTGGAAAAAAAATGCTACAAAAATAGATTCTGATGAGTCATGATGAGGTAATATTATTTCAGGAGTATTTTGAATGCTGCAGGCTAATTATTAGTTCTCTGAGTCATTTGTTTTTGAAGGATCCGGGAGAGAAAAGTCTGCCGTAATGCAGCAAGTGTGTAAAATAATCTTTGCCTTACAGGTGCTCCTGTGTTTGATCCCCAGTTGGGCAGTTTGCTGACAGACAAGCCTGGGGCCAGCA